CTAGTGGTAGTGGGGAAGGTGATCCGCCATAGCTCCCATGTTAGTAAGGAAGAAGACAAGGCTAAAAGGAGTCCGGTTAGCCCTCCTAGAGGGAAGGACTCCATAGCCATAGTGATAGGAGCTTGTGGCAACTTGGGAGGAGGAGAGGGACGAAGGAGAAGAGCTTGAAGGGGAAGGAAGCGATAGCCAAGTTGGGAGGAGCTTCATCAAGAGTTCAGATATCACCCTCAAGGCTAAGGACAGGTGGGTGGAGAAATTTTTCTTCTTCCTCTTCCTCTTCTTCTTCTTCTTCTTCTTCATCTTCTTCTTCCTCTTCTTCTTCTTCTTCTTCTTCTTCATCTTTTTCCTCTCATTCTCATTATTCTTCCTCTCACCTTCTTCTTCTTCTTCTTTTTCTTCTCGTTTTTTTTTTTTTTCTTCTTCTTCTTTTTCTTCTTTTTCTTCCTCCCTCCTTCTTTCTTTCTCCTCATCCTCCATGGATGTCTTCCACGGATTAGGATAGCTATTAGAGGAATCTTTGGCTATTAATAGGCTCTCCATTGTCCATTTTTCCACTCCTATGTAAATAGCTACTTTTCCCCTTGTGTGTGTGAGCTCGAATGTGTTGTTATATCACTTTCTCTCCATGTTTCACTTGATTATTCACTTGGGAGTAATTCGCTTCTTCAACCTTGGTGTAATCTAGTGTTCTTGTAGTGTAGAATGCTTACATTGTCCATTTTTCCACTCCTATGTAAATCGCCACTTTTCCCCTTATGTGTGTGAGCTCAAATGTGTTGTTTTCTCACTTTCTCTGCATGTTTCACTTGATTTTTCACTTGGGAGTAATTCGTTACTTCAATCTTGGTGTAATCTAATGTTCTTGTAGTCTAGGGTGCTTGCATTATCAATTTTTCCACTCCTATGTAAATCGCGACTTTTTCCCTTGTGTGTGTGAGCTCAAAAGTGTTGTTTTCTCTCTTTCTCCCCATGTTTCACTCGATTGTTCACTTGGGAGTAATTCGCTACTTCAACCTTGGTGTAATCTGGTGTTCTTGTAGTGTAGAGTGCTTGCATTGTCCATTTTTCCACTCCTATGTAAATTGTTATTTTTTCCCTTGTGTGTGTGAGCTCAAATGTGTTGTTTTCTCACTTTCTCTCCATGTTTCACTTGATTATTCACTTGGGAGTAATTTGCTACTTCAATCTTGGTGTAATCTAGTGTTCTTGTGGTGTAGAGTGCTTGCATTGTCCATTTTTCCACTCCTAGGTAAACTGCTATTTTTCCCCCCGTGTGTGTGAGCTCAAAT